TGAATCTGATGGCAAATACCCTTACTACCCCAACTACTGTCTGGTTTTTAAAGAGACCCCATCCCCACTCTGTGTTAATTCTAGGCGCATGGTATAGAATATGGGTATCGATTCCCATTAAATCACACGTTTAAAGCTTGTTTCTGGCATTCATAACACTCTCCGACCTTTACTTTCCTCACCACCCACCTTCTGAAGGGTGCACATTTCGTCGTCAAAAAAAAGGCATTTTATACATACAGCCATGCGAGTGCCCAATATTTGTTACCTAAATATAAAATATATTTCAGGTCGGTTGGCCACTCTTTTTGGTTTTTTATGAGGACAAGCTTGTGTCTTAAAGGAACTGTAAGTGTAATTTCAAGTGACCCTCCATGCAAGGACGGCAATGTACGATTTACAACGGAATCCTTACAATCTTTGTCTGGTAAATTATGAAATAGATATATATTACGTTTCTATTTTTGAAACTGCTTATTTTTATTTGTCTACAAAATGGTGTATTTCTTGCTTACAAGAAACTTTGGAGAGATGATCTGAATTAAACACTTAAAGGGACTGTAAAGGAAAAATGAAGGGGGGTATAGGCTGAAAGCTTATCACTCTAGCTCTTGATCGCGACCCATGAAAGTTATATTTGGTGTTCCTGTTTCGAGTTTATATAAAACTGTGTCAAATGTATACGAAAATTCATATATATACAATTTTGTATAAAAATAGTAGGTTTTAACAGCTCATACTTAGGTTTCAGCCTATACCCCTTTTCATTTTCGTTTACAGTCCCATTAACCGAGTAAGAAAACAACGTTATCTTCCACATTTTATAATCAGATTAAAAATCGGACATTGCCATCATTGCCATGCATGGAGGGTAACTTGAAATTAAACTCACAGTCCCTTTAAATATCTGATTACTAGGTTTAGCCGGCTAATTGTCCCGTTGACGGCTAAACCTTAGCTGCAAGGTATTCCTTCATTCATGTATTACCCTCAGTTTCAAATAATCATTAAATAGATTTATTTAACTCAATTTGTATTTCATACCTCAGCTCTGGCAGAACATGAACTGTTGCAACGTACAAGAATGTTCCAGCAGAGAACATCTAATCCCTAGTGGAGTGGGTATGTGATTAACTTCCTGATCCTACTCCTCACTAATCCCTAGTGGAGTGGGTATGTGATTAACTTCCTGATCCTACTCCTCACTAGTCCCTAGTGGAGAAGGTATATAACCAACTACCTGATCCTGCTCCTCTCTAATCTTTCCTTGAGTTGGCATGTGACCAACTACCTGATCCTTCTCCTCCATAAGGGTATGTGACAAACTACCTGATCCTACTCCTCTCTAAGGGTATGTGATAAACTACCTGATCCTACTCCTCTCTAATCCCTCGTGGAGAAGGTATGTATCCAAACCAAAGCTGGCGGGAGCTTTATGCAACATTATTGCAAGGAACACGACCATTTCTACATCCGTCTAGTAATTAGGAGCCATCAATGAAAATATGATAAAAGAAGGATGGGATAAAAACATGAATCAAGGGGTTTGTTGAAAATAGTATACAAGAAGGATGGGGATAAAAACATAATTCAAGGGGTTTGGTGGAAATAGGATAAAAGATGGATGGGATTAAAACATACTTCAAGGGGGTTGGTGGAAATAGGATAAAAGATGGATGGGATAAAAACATAATTCAAGGGGGTTGGTGGAAATAGGATAAAAGATGGATGGGATAAAAACATAATTCAAGGGAATTGGTGGAAATAGGATAAAAGTGTGATGGGCTGAAAACATGAATCCAGGGGTTTTGTGAAAATGTATAGGATAGAATTAGGATGGGGATTAAAAACATGAATCAACGGGTTGGTGAAAATACATAGGATAGAATTAGATGGATTAAAAACATGAATCAAGGGGTTGGGTGAAAATAGGATAAAATTAGGTAGAATCTAAAATTTAAACATAAATAAGGTTGTTTTAAAACATAAATTAATGGGTTGCATTCTAAGTATGACTACAAGGACCCCCCCCCAGAATACAGGGGTAAGATGAGTAATATTTGAATTGACTCCCGGCTCCCTGATTAGTAGTTGCAGCAGCTCCAAGAGCAACACCATCTGCTGCTGCATGAACAACTAGGCCTGAAATATACGTTTTTGGGAATTTTTTGCAAAGATTACATTTTGAAAAACATATTGTCGCAGAATTTCTTCTGGAATGAATTACCCTCCCCCCTCCCCCCTTCCCTGTTTTGACTCTGGACAAAACTCTTTCGCAAATTTTGTACAAAAAATCTATTCAAGCAGGTTTTTCTTTTTCCCTGTTCAAAGTCCTCCAGTAAATTTAACTAAAATGGGAATTTCCCGAGAATTTCGTTCTTGCATATTTTCGAACCCTTTTAAATGATATTAATGATTTTTAGTCAAAATAAATGTTTTACTATAGTTCTAATAAGTAATAAAAAAAAGAATCACATGAACCTTGCATCCTGATTTCTTTTAACTGTTAACTAATCTAAATGATATTCAAAACATTTGTTTGATGATTTTAACCATCTAAATTATACTATGATTTACATGATAATCAGAATATTGGTTGAATGAAATGAAATTAAAAATATTTTTGTTTACCTAATGTTGCGGTCCAGGAAACATTTCCTTTCCTCCCTGCACCACCAGATTCTATATCACGGGACTTACTTACAGCAATCTAAAAATAAACTATGTAATAAATTTTTTTAACAATTTGAATCTTTTTAAACCACTGGACTTAAATATAAACTCCTGAACAGTCCTTTTAAACTCCAAATTCCTCCTAACCTGATCCACTATACAAGCATGAATATAAATCCAAGAACTAAAGAGACTCCGATAAGATGAGGAACAGGGTTATCGTGATCCTCCTTATCCTCGCCATGTCCGTGATGCTTTTCATTGAAAGTATATATGCCATATATATATAAGTATTCTCGTTTCGATGTCCGATCATAACTTAAAAACCTCTTGACCGATTTACCTCAAATTTTTATGGGGGAACTCGATAAAACACTGGAATGTTCTTAGCTTGGTTTAACGTAGATTAACCTTTTAATTGAAAATTTAGTTTCCAGGCAAAACTGGGTTCCCCAAATAGTAATTAATAATAATAACCAGCCAACCAACATTCTGTCGAATTCTAGGTCTAGTCTCTTGATCAGAAATAACCGTCCAAGCACGGAAAGGGCACAAGTACCGCAATGTTAAGTAACAGGGCAATGATTGTCACCTGGACTAGTCAATCGCGGCACCATTCGTTTTCATATTAATAACCTTTAATTTTTGTGATTTTTGGTTTCTAATAGATAAATATTAAATCTGTATTTTATGGAGGTAGGTAAAATACCAACTGATCTTCATCAATAAAGATAGTCATCATTACTAAAAGAATAACTTTTTTCACATACCTGTAGGCCATATTTAGAGTTTCCACCATTCCTTCCGGTATAATCACGCTTAGAGCAGTTCCAACCAACAATCCTGCCCCGAGTACAGATACAAGCTGAAATACAAGGTTTAGAGTAATCCTACTCCTAGTACTGATACAAGCTGAAATACAAGGTTTAGAGTAATCCTACTCCTAGTACAGGTACAAAATGAAATACAGGGTTTAGAGTAATCCTACTCCTAGTACCGATACAAGCTGAAATACAAGGTTTAGTGTAATCCTACTCCGAATACAGATACAAGCTGAAATACAGGGTTTAGAGTAATCCTACTCCTAGTACAGATACAAGCTGAAATACAAGGTTTAGAGTAATCCTACTCCCAGTACAGATACAAGCTAAAATACAGGGTTTAGAGTAATCCTACTCCAAGTACAGATACAAGCTGAAATACAGGGTTTAGAGTAATCCTACTCCGAGTACAAATACAAGCTGAAATACAGGGTTTAAAGTAATCCTACGCCTAGTACAGATACAAGCTGAAATACAAGGTTTAGAGTAATCCTACTCCTAGTACAGATACAAGCTGAAATACAGGATTTAGAGTAATCCTAATCCTAGTTAGATACAAGCTAAAATACCGGGTTTAGAGTAATCCTACTTCTAGAACAGATACAAGCTGAGTTACAAGGTATAGAATAATCCTACTCCTAGTTGAGATACAAGCTGAAGTACAGGGTAAAGAGTAATCCTACTCCGAGTACAGATACAAGCTGAAATACAGGATTTAGAGTAATCCTACTCCTAGTACAGATACAAGCTGAAATACAAGGTTTTGAGTACTCCTACGCCTAGTACAGATACAAGCTGAAATACAGGGTTTAGAGTAATCCTACTCCCAGTACATATCCAAGCTGAAATACAAGGTTTAGAGTACCTGAGCTGGGAACTTTAGAATATAACCTTTAATCCCAACAACTTAATCCGAATATCCACTGTGGAAACTTTTAATTTTACTCTTTTTCTCTCTCTTTGGATATCCGTACATTATTTTCTCCAGTGAGAGTGCAGGAATATAGTTCGTAAATTGTATTGACCAATAACAGCCTTGAAAATAAATTCTATCCCATGAGAGAAATACACAATTTCTAAAAAATAAAGAATTTTCTGTCGGCCATTTTGTAGATTAATCGATGAGGAAAAATATTTAATTAATACGTTTGAGATTCTTTTGTAACCAATTTTAAATAATGTATTAATAAATAAATGCGTGAGAAATTAAGTGAAGGCCCTTCCAGTCAAGAAAACGAACCAATCTGACGTTCTAAGAATCCAATTTGTTGCTATAAATATTTAATCTCGAGATTAGCAAAAACAAAGGATTATGCATTAATCCTGATATCCACTATTCTAAATGTGTAAACGTTTGATATTTCAAAAATTAGATTATTTATGTAACCGAATTCAAGTTCAAAATATCTAAGGTCTACGACATCATAGGTTTGCAAATTTGTATATTTTTGTTTCTTGTGGTTGGTTTTACATAAGTCTATTCTCTTAATATCGGTCTACTTTTTTATGAAAACGAGGTTATAGGGTATATGGACTATAGAGTGCTAATGTTCGCTACTTCTTTACTTATGAATATATGGCCAGAATTCACACCACTGACCGAACTGCATATTTACTGTAGGTTTGGCCATAATCTCCTTCTGTTATTTCCCCCCCCCCCCCCCACGAAGTTCCGTAAAAGTTTGTCAATTTCTCCCGAGTTAGTAATTACTTTTCATAACCGTTTTCATAACTTTTAGTAGAAATATTCAACTTTATAAAAAGTGATTATTTTAGCTTTATTTCACAGTTTTATGTTTTATATGTTTCTTATACTGTACAACCCGTGTTATTATGTATAACTCCGGGACAGAAGACATTAACTGATTGAATGATAATGAATATTGAATATACAAAGATAGCAATAGATTATCCTTGAGATCACAGAAAGGACAAAATAGGCAAAACAGTACCCTTTCAACCTTTCCCTGAGCAAAAGTTATAAAAGCTGACCTTGTTTTTCTTATTAAAAATTGATAATTTTCTTTTGTGGTTGCGGATTTGTGCAGAATATACCAAGAAGGAAATTGGCAGAATAACTGTATTCCCTTTGTTCCCAAAAATAAAATCCATCCGACTGATTTGCGTGCAATGCCACACTGATCCACACAGATCTAATTGAGCAATAACAGCTCAAAAGAATTGAGTTTTTGCCACAAACTTAGATTTTTTAACCCTTATATCTTTGCAGTAAAGGTCAACACCATCAGGTTGTAAAGATATAGGTATAAGAAAATTTGAGTTTGTGGCAAAAAATCTCAATTCCTTTATGCAATTTTGAATTTATAAGTTCAATAGTGTCTTATAAAAATAAAATTAAAAAATTTAAAGAAAACCGTGATTATTTATTGAAAAAGATTTCTGTTTATTCTCATTTCCACTGGCTTGGACTGCTCTTGATCAAGTATTAAAAACTATGCAAAGTAAAATTGTGAGTTCGAAGTTTCGCGTAAAAAAGTCTCCGATTGCCAAATTTGACAATCTTGAGTGTAATTAGATAATTGTTTAGTAGTATATTTGTATGTTCAAACCACTTGTTGCTATTTAATGGAGCCATAAGGAAATTATAAAAGAAGGTTTTAATTTTTAATGATTTTCTTTATAAAAATCACTCTACCACTTCAGTTTCTCAACCAACTCAACCTTATTCATAATTTATCATCATTAAGTTTTGTTTAAAATGCACACTGTACAGTGTACATCCATCTCTTTATTTACAATTCTTATTCGCTTATAATGGGCCAACCAATCAAAACAACCAACTCTGGATAGGCGGGTCCAAACTACATAGTAAATTGTGATTTGTTATTTGTATTATCTCATGCTTTGTAGTTGAATAAAAAATATGAAATATGAACTGTCATCTCTATAATCTTCTTGGTTTTGTGAAAATAACTTTATAAACTATAATCTAAGCTCTCCTGCAGCAGCTAGTGTTTTATTTTTTTACATATATTTATTGTACAAATGTTTTGCTAATTATTAATGCAGAAATTATATGATTGAATTTGATTCGATTTGAGATAAAGGTTCGAAGGGTACCTGCGTGAGTTTGGCGGATTTCTCTTAAAATTACGATAAAAGTCCCTTAGTTTCCGATTATAAACCTGACTATCGATCGAAAAGATTAGTTTCATATTATTTAGCACAACAATCAAACTATCAGAGCAAAACAATAAATCCCTTTTTATTTGATCTTATTAATCTCTGTTCTAGATATGCAGACATATACAAATAACATATATATGCACATCAAACATTAATTAATCAAGTCTGATCACCAATGTACCAATGTACACTACATATATATGCTAATTAATAAGGTATACATATGTATCTACACCACTATAGTTTCAGTAGAAGTAAATATTTCCATTTAATGTTATAGCGCCGATAATATAAGGATTTATCTGTAATTGGACAATAAGCTAGATAGAAAGATAGATGATACCGCCACGCTATTTCTATTGGTTCAGAATAGACACCAAACAGATGGCTGAACCCTGATTGGATCAGGCGCTAATGGACTTGGCATACTAGAGTGACACAAAAAACATCTACAAAAACATATATGAAGTGTTTGAGGACTTCGTAATGAATCAGATTTGAAACAAATATTAAATGTATAAATATTAAGATTAATTTTTCAACTTATTTTATATATATTTTATTATATATATATATAATTATATATATCATGATCTCCCCCCCTCACCCCTCCCTTCATCATCTCTCAATCATCCCCCTCCCCCTCAAACTAAATTCAAAACTTATGTATTGAGATCTAGTCTGAAATTGAGACTTATAAAACCGTTTTGTCTTTTAAGCTGTGAATAATTCTGTATCCAGTAGGCAAACTTTTAAGCTGTGAATTTCTGTATCCAGTAAGCAAACTTTTGAGCTGTGAATTTCTGTATCCAGAAGCACAAACTTTTAAGCTGTGAATGTCTGTATCCAGTAGGCAAACTTTAGAGCTGTGAATTTCTGTATCCAGTAGGCAAACTTTTAAGCTGTGAATTGCTGTGTTGAATATCAGAAGGTTATGAATCCAGTAGGCAAACTTTTGAACATGTCTTAAATCCGCCATTTATAACATTTCACCTTCGAAATAATTTTTTGCGGCTTAGGTTTAATCAGAGATTAACACAAAAGTTTCGACCCCAGATTGGTTTAACCTTTTAATCTCTCATGATTACACAAAGTATTTCTTTTTTAAAGAATAAATTTGATTTTTGACAGGTTGGATTAGTTTTCGTCAGGGTTTATAAGAAAATATAGAACAATTGAGTCACAAACTTTGATTTTCTAATCCCTATATCTTTGAAATCCATATATGACGTCACCGCTTATTTTAAAGAAAAATAAAGAATAAAAGAAGAATAATATAAACAAACTCAAAAATTGAAAACATTAGAATTGCATTTTGTGTTGTGATTGTTAGTTAAGTATCAGTGACGTCATATGAGGATTTAGAGTGTCCATTGGAAAAAAGACGACATTTACCTACATGGAGCGTATCCAGAGTATCTAACCTTATATAAACTTGCGTAGATCAGAGTGATTTTAAACTATGAATTCTGTTGGCCAAAATAATCTAAGTTTGAATATCAAAGGTTTACTTCATCAGGTTGCAAATTAAAAAATTTGAGTTTGTGGCGCAAAACTTCAAATCCTTTAAAAATGCATGCATCCTATTAGGTAATATTCACAAAGAACGGGTTTATTGGCTTTCAAATGTACACTGCACCTTTGCTGTGTCTAATGTTCATCGGACTAAGTAAAAACTAGTGTCTAAAAGTCGTCTTCCTATTCCTGAGTTTTCTGGTTCTCGTTGTATTTTTACAGCTTATTTTATATTGAACACAGGAAAAACAGAGAAAAAAAATGTCTGCTAAGATATTTTTTCCCGGAACAATAAATATATGTAATAAAGCAAACTGAGAGGAGATATATCTTGTATTTATAAGATATTGCTTTATACCATATTGACATTAATATCAATATACCACGGGGGGACTCAGGTGGGGACCAGGGGGTCCAGGGCGGGGGGTCGTATACATATAGGTTGACAACCAAACTTCTACCGAATAAGATATTACTCATTTCAAATGAAATTTCGGAGTTACTATATTCGCCGTCGTATATATTAATACAATGAAGACGACTTTTGATTTCCTACAAGCTTTTAAACAGCATGGATCCACATTATCATCAAATAAAAGCTTCTCTTTGTTTACTTAAAAAATTTTAATTCGAAAAAACTTGATAACAATAAAAACTTAACAAATAAAAAACCAAAAATGTTTTTAATCTGTCTCCCACTTGTGAGAATTATCTTTAAAGCTTGATATTAGAGTATTAGAGTGCACTTTCTAACAGTTTTGCATTAGTTTCTTTAAAGGGATTAATTTAAGAAACTCTGATGAATATTTTATCCAACAGTTATGCACTAGTTCCTTTAAAGGGATTATCTATGGGTCACTAAATATTCACAACAATGCGTAAACAAATCTATACAGAGCTGGGAACTTTATAATGGTGGATATCAGGATTAATGCTTAATCCTCTCTTTTTGCTAATCTCGAGACTAACATAAACTCGAGATTATGTTAGTCTCCGAGATTAAATATTTAGATCAACAAATTTAATAAAACATTAAATGCCAGCGCCAGATATTTTCGTTTTCTTGATTGGAAGGGCCTCCACTTCATTTTTTACCCTTTTAGTTATTATATACATTAGTTAGAATTGGTTAAAAAAGAATCTCAAACGTATTATTACATGTTTTTCTTCATCGATTAATTTACAAAATGGCTGACAACAAATTCTTTATTTGTTAGTGTTTGGGGAGGGATCTCATTGGATAGAATTTATTTTCAAGGCTGTCATTGGTCATTGCAATTTACGAACTATTTTCCTGCACTCTCTTTGAAGAAAACAATGTACGGATGTCCACAGAAAGAGAAAAAGAGTGGATAAAGGACTAAAACAGTGGATATTCGGATTAAGCAGTCGGGATTAAAGGTTATCCATTCTAAAGTTCCCAGAGCTGACAACTTTAGAATGAGATATCCTTAATCCCGACCGCTTAATTAATCTTGATTAATAGCAAGAGGAGAGATTAAGAAAAAGATTCGATTAAGCATTAATCCCGATATCCACCATTTAAAGTTCCCAGCTCAGCTCATCTCAAATATATAAAAATTTATGTATTTTTATTACGTCTTCAACCCCTCATCAACATTCTAAAGTTTCCAGAGCTGAAAACTTTAGAATGAGATATCCTTAATCCCGACCGCTTAATTAATCTTGATTAATAGCAAGAGGAGAGAAGATTAAGAAAAAGATTCGATTAAGCATTAATCCCGATATCCACCATTTAAAAGTTCCCAGCTCAGCTCATCTCAAATAAATAAAAATTTATGTATTTTTCCAACGTCTTCAACCCCTCATCAACAGAATTTTTCTAGCAATCTTCCATCCATCATATCTAGCCCTTCTATCAATCATGGATGGTGCACATTAAAAAATGTATTTTTAATAATAAAGAATAAAAATATTTATTTATCCTTAAGCAAAACAAAAATGCGTTGACAAACTTAAATCTTCATTTTGAATGATTTAATCTCATTCTGTTGGTTTCTCTCTCCGGTCTTAGCAAATATTGTTCTCAAGTTCATCTTGTATAATTCTCATCCTTTCTGAAGTAATCTTGTGCCCAGTTATTCTTGTCTTCATATCACAGTTCCTTAAAATATTTAATATTTTGTATGTTTTATATTTTATGTATTATATCTTATATTTAAGATGGAAATAAAGATGTTTCTAACGAAGTATAAAGCAAGTAAAAATTTTCCGGATTTGAAAAGGAATTGAGTTCTTGCCACAAAATCTAATCTTCCAATCCCTATATCTCTGCAACCCAATGTTGTACACTATTCTAAGTTTAAAATATAAAAGGTTTACACCACCAGGTTGCAAAGAAATAGGGATTAGAACATTTAAGTTTGTGACAAAAACTCAGTTCCTTTGCTTAAAGTACAGCGTATGACTGTTGTTAACTTTTGAATATAATATGATATGGATATAATCAGGGAGTAAGGAATAGAAGGGAGATATAACTGACGCGGTTCCCCCTACCATATGATTACACATGCTTTGCAGACGGGTACTCCATTTGTATATGAAATATTCAGAATAGGTTATAGTATACGCAGTAAATGTACATCGGACAAATATTTCTTATTCAAATGAAGTACCCGTCTGCAAAGCATGTAATCATATGGTAGGGCGAACAGTGTCAGTTATATCTCTCTTCTATTCCTGGATATAATATGTATGCCACGTCAAAGGAATTGAGTTCTTGACATATGCTCTGATTTTCTAATCCCTGTACTTGCAACCTGATATTTTATTTTAGTTTGTGGCAAAAACTCCACCCCTTTAATTAAATTCTAATTTTAATTCTTCTCCTTTCGTCTAATGGAGTGTGATGCATTTTAAATGTTTAGTTAAATAAGTATCCTCGGTGTGAAAATAAAACCAAAAATAATAGAATAATAAATCGTAAATCCCGATACTCCATCATCTTAGAAACATTAAACAAATATAGAAATAGACACGTTTTAGTTTTTACATTGCGTTAGAAACCAAGATTACTCTCTATTCTCTACTCTGTTAAACTCTCTATTCTCTACTCTCTTAAACTCTCTATTCTCTACTCTCTTAAACTCTCTATTCTCTACTCTCTTAAACTCTCTATTCTCTACTCTCTTAAACTTTCTATTCTCTACTCTCTCAACAGAAATAAAAATAGAATAAACATGAGCATAACAAAACTTTTTGTAAGGAAATCCAAATTTCAAGTTTTTTCTTTAATGAAGACATCTAATGAATTTTTAAAAAATACAATCTCGGAATAATCTTTCGTTTTTAATCAAAACTTATTTAAGTGCATTCAAAACTAAGCTTAATGGTTTTTTTAATTAAAATGGTTAGCCCAGTAAAATCGATTTCATTTTACGGTTGAAACTTGGTTAAAAAGAGAAGGCCAATAACTTTCAAAACCTCAACATCAAAATCAACATGAATATCTGTTTTTCCAATAAATAGATAAATAGATATTTCAAGTTACTGTACACATTTTTTAAATATGTAATTATGTCTTTTATTTATTTAGGTTTTTTTTTGCTGCAAACTCAGATTTCTCATATTATATCTTTGCAACCTGATGTCGTAGACCTTTGATATTTCATACTATGAATTCTGTTTGATCATATAGTTTGGAACATGAAAGGCTTACACCATCAGGTTGCAAACATATAGGGATTAAAAATCAGTGTTTGTGCAGCGCAAAAACTCAGTTTCTTTGAGAAAGAGAAGCGCCTAGTATATTTGATTGACCTGTTAACAAGCTGTCCACAGCTGAATATATTATTATGTACTCTCTGAATACCTCCTACTCTAGAGGCACAGTGACCAGTTAGAAATGCGTCCTCTACTCTGAAAATAATAAATGATCCATTATCTAATATATTCAGTCACTCTGGGCCGTAGTAAATTTGAATTCAAACAGGACCTGCCCAGTTTGTACAGGCCTGCCAGATAACAGCGTGTACTGACCCGATCCTATGGTACAGTACGTCGACCTAACCAGACTAACATACGACAGAGGGGTCAATTCTTGGCATAGTCCCGTCGGAGGGCTAACTATGACAACTCCCATGGCGCGTTCAGACTTTTTACAGTACCCGGCCTAATCCTAGGCCTATTTGACCGACCACACTGGCTTAGTCCACCGTGCAGTGTTGTAGACATAACTTCATAACTTTACTGGTTTTCACTGTACATTTCACTATTAAGACAAGGTTTATTAATGAAAAGATTTTAGAGTTCTAAATCTATGAAAAAGATGCAATTTATTTTTTACGGCAGATAAGTTTAATACTATTTTTGCTTTTATTATTTTCCCTCATTTTTAAATTTTTAGGTTTTTATTTCTTTATCATTTCTAGTTTTGTTTAGTTTTTTATTTGATAAATATTTTATATTTTATATTATTTTATATTAGTTGATAAATATATCACCTGATAATTTTGATATTTTGACTTGCATTGCTTAGTTCCTTTTAAACAAAGCAAAATGTCTGCTTCGAAGTGATTACAGTGATATACAATTAAAATCTCTACGATTGCCGTCTTCGTTATAGCTTTTACCAGGAAATGTCGATTAAAGGTGGTTTTGTTTTGTAACAGTTATAAACACTTTACAAAGTATTATCAGTTACGTAAATTAAAAGTTATAATTTTTAAATTCCTTTTCAATATTTATGATTAAACGAAAGAGCAACTACGATATTTCATATTGGTATTCACTTAAGCTAGAAAAAAACTTTGAAATCCTTCTAGAAACTTTGAAATAATGAAATTATTTGCTGTTAGTCCTAAAACCTGAATAATATCTCCGGATATAATGTATCCAGCTCCAGCAGTGAAGGGTGGATGGACGGAAGTGAAGCTTGCTCCGGATACAGATATAGGCTGGTGAGATCCCTGGGGTCCGTTCTTCACGCAACCATGAATTACTCGTGATCTTGGTTCGGCGCTGCGTAGGAACCGGATGAGCATGGGAATATTCAAGTAAATGTCGTCATCTGTTTTCATAAAAAACTTCGCCTGAAAAAAAGTCACAATAAGATAAATAAAAAAAACAGGTCAAGCAGTAACAACTCCAAACGATGTAAAATATAACAGAGTTGTTTCTTGTAAATTTACTTTTTATAGGTGACCTTGATTTGTTGAATCAATTCATATTTTGATACAGGGATACCCATAAATGATGAGATAAAGAGACGACTGTACGGAATCTGCGGTTTTCTTCCAATATTGGTTTCCTGCAAATTTGTTTATCCTTAAATATTTAGAACCGGATTGTGTAAACCTTTGATATTTTAAACTTTAACTATTTGATCTAACAGAGTTTATAGTTTGAAATGTAAGAGCTCGTGGACATCGGATTGTAAATATAGAGATTAGAAAATCAGAGTTTGTGACAAACACGCAATTCCTTTGTTTCTTTCTTTTGCAGATGATTTAGTGGGTCATCTAAAGCCTAAATTTAGAGAGACAAAATTAAACCTTTAGATCGTTATATTCTTTGACTTATAGGTCGTCATTAAATTCTCATCCTTTTTGGGTAGAATAACAGAGTTTGCATCAAAGATCCAATTCCTTTCTTGTGGTTGGTGTAACGTATAAGGTATCTAACTGAAAATGGTCTAGATTTGAATCTTAGCTTCTGATGAATCAGTTTTGCATGTTTGGTTTGAGTCTAAAAATAATTGATTGAAAAATTGAATCACCCTTCATCTACACTAGAGGTTTTATGAATTCTTGTTTGAATATTGGATAAAACTGATATTAAGTTGATCCTTTCTATTATAGAGGGTTTCCTACACTTTGCAACACATTTTAGCAGAATTCAATCAGAATTCTTTACTCAGGACTTATATCTACATTTAAGGCTGGGGGGGGGGGGCTAAAAATATAGATTGGGCCCCCCCCCCCCCAAGAAAAGGCCTCATTGAAAAGAAAATTAGACAGCTAACTTTAATAGTTTGGGTGCTAGGGAGGTTTGAAAAAATGTTAAAAAGTCGGAAACATAAAAAAAGAAAGATTTGTTTTTAAAACATATTAAGATGTACTACGTGCTTCTAAATCCAATTTTCAAGCGCTTTTTAAAGAAGGTAGTTTTAGATCTGTAGCTTAAAAGTTATGGGCCAATACTCTACCCTATGGGCCAGTACTCTACCCTATGGGCCAGTACTCTACCCTATGCATTAAAAACAAATCCTTTAAATTACTCCTTAATATTTCGATTTGCAATCTTATGGTGAAACCATATGGTGAAAACCTATGGTGAAAACCTATGGTGAAACCATATGGTGAAACCATATGGTGAAAACCTATGGTGTTGCAATTTTAGGGATTAGAACATCAGAGTTTGTGGCAAAGACTCAATTTTTCACTTAACGGTGCGTACGAATTGATAAAGTTAAATGTAAAGTTTTTGTTAGGCTGAAAGTCGTGAGTTTGAAAACCATAAAGGGGAAAGTTAAACCTTGCAAAGTTGCGAGTTGAGTTTCAGAAACAATATCTGGTAGGTTCAGGATAATCAGAAACATAATCTGGTAGGTTCAGGTTAATCAGAAACATAATCTGGTAGGTTCGGGATAATCAGAAACATAATCTGGTAGGTTCAGGACAATCAAGAGAGATAAAAGAATATATATTGTCGTAATCATATTTTCATTGTGGCTGTCTGTTTAAAAACTTCGGCCGTCAGTAAACCGTCCCTTGGGATCACGTGAGTTGCAACAGTATTCAGAACTGATCGGCTCAACTGTTTCGACGTTTATTGGATACAGACAAACAGACACCCAAACAGACATACCAAAAACATATTATATAGATGTGTGGAATACTTTCTAAGTTTCTAAATGTGAAAGAAGAAAACTATACTTTACAAAAAGTTCTTTTTATTTTATAAATAAAGTTTTGCTTCTGTGTTAAGAGCTGAAAAGAAAATCCTCCAACAAAAGTTTGAAAGAACATTTTTTTGGAAAATAAATACTCTATTGATAAACCTATTTTGTGCTGTACTTTTCTCATTACTTGGTAAATTTCGTTATTTTTGAATCTGAGATATATGTTTAGCAGCAATGTAATTTCGTAAATTCCAGCGAAAAAATGTTTGAAAAGTTTATAAGTAGATATTTTCTGAAAGTTAAAAATATAAATTTAGTAAAACAAATATTTGATGTTAGGGAAATGTTGAGGAAGAATTCTTCTTCAACATTCTTTTCTAGTGCTGTATAGTTCTATATAGGATATTAGATCTAGTGCTGAATAGTTCTATATAGGATATTAGAACTAGTGCTGTATAGTTCTATATAGGATATTATAACTATAGTGCTGTATAGTTCTATATATGATATTAGAACTATAGTGCTTTATAGTTCTATATAGGATATTAGAACTATAGTGCTGTATAGTTCTATATAGGATATTAGAACTATAGTTCTGTATAGCTCTATATAGGATATTAGAACTAGTGCTGTATAGTCCTATATGTGCTGTTTAGTTCTATATAGGATATTAGAACTAGTGATGTATAGTTCTGTATAGGATATTACAACTAGTGCTGTATAGTTCAATATAGGATATTAGAACTTGCTGTATAGGTTTAAATAGGATATTAGAACTATAGTGCTGTATAGTTCTATATAGGATATTAGAACTATAGTGCTGTATAGTTCTATATAGGATATTAGAACTAGTAATGTATAGTTCTGTATAGGATATTAGAAAACGTAATGGTATCATTGAAATAATAGACAGAAGAATAAAATGAAGAAATGGATCCCAATACCGTTATAATTTAGTTTGAAATATAAAAAAATTCTTAAATATATCATATTCAATAAATGTACCGCTATCAATAACGATGAAGTGAAATGGCTGTTCCGTTTATTTAAATGCAGATGAAGGGATTATTTCCTTAAACATCTCCTGCTATACGCCCTGGTTTTTATTATTATTCATAGTCATAGTTATTCCCGTTGTTTACCCACGCTTCCTATTTAATTAGAATTTTAGATGAAGTGCCCGAAGTTGCACGTGGAATTTCAAAAAAAAAACGTGCAGTGTAAATAGAACCAACTTACTGAATACACTATCTTAGTCACTCGTGAAACTATTTGCTTTGTTACAATATCCAATTCACTTTAGTATTGCTTTAATGTCGTCTTCATATTCCACGGTTTTATGGTTCTCACTGTATATATGTCTATGATAAGAAAGATTCTGGTTCTTTTACATTTCTAATAATAAGTAACTGTTACCAATACAAATAATAAGTAACTGTTACCTATACAAATAATAAGTATCTGTTACCTATGAAAATAATAAGTAACTGTTATCTATACAAATAATAAGTAACTGTTATCTATACAAATAATAAGTAACTGTTATCTATACAAATAATAAGTAACTGTTACCTATACAAATTAAGAACCTGCCTGAGAACAGAATTGTCTTGTCCATTTAATTCCTCCAATTGATTTTAGAGTCAGGTTTGAGTAGGAGTCAATAAACTGTTCTCTGACTATATCGGAGAACTCTAGAGACTCCTTTAAAAGATCTGACTCCAGGGTTGGGTTCAACTCCTGTGTGGTTCCAAGCATGAAAAATATCTGAAAGTGAAAATATCCTGTGAAATCTGCGAATCGGCATGTTTAGTTAAAAATCTGCGAAAAGAAAAAAAGTTTTTGCCAAAAACTTCAATTTTCTCATCCCAATATATTTGCAGTCTGATCGTGTAAACCTTTGATATTTTTAACCTAGACAATTCGATTTAGTAGAATTCTCAGTGGGAAATGTCAAAGGTCTGCTACATCGGGTTGCAAAGATCTAGGGATTTTTCGACAAACACTCATTTTCTTTAATTTAAATGCTAACCAACCTTAATATTATGAGGAATAAGATTTGAGGAAGCTCCCCATGTTTCCCTAAAAAATCAGTTGATAATATTAGGATTGGTTAATATTTGGTTTTCAAAACAATTTAGTTTTTTTTTGTAAAAAGAATATTATATATGATTTAATGATATACCGGGGTCCAAAATGTGTACTGCAGCTTTCTGGTAGGAAAATGATTAAATAAATTGTTTTGTTTACATTTCTGCACTTAAAGCTTAAAGAGAGGGTTTTAAGACATTTTATTTTTAAACTTTATAAATCACCAATTTATAAAGTAAAATGTCCCCATCCACAACGGTACCCTTTAAACTATTATCTTATAGTAACTTTTACAGAAAACCCTGAAATGAAAATGATTAATATACAGATAGAAAAGCATGGATATCTCAATTGTCTTTGCTGAGATAAAGATAATTTAGAGTTTACACGATTTTTATACAGGGTTAGCCACAAAGGATGAGACTTCAGAGAGGATTGTACGAAATTTATACTCTCTGTTTCCTTAAATTCTCGATTCCCTGCAACTTAAAACTTATTTATTTCTTTGCCAAATCATCAAATATGCCATTAGGTTACTATATCTAAGCCAGAATACATAAATAAACCCGGCGATCCTCATATTTAAGAGCTTATGGTCGTCTTATACAGTCTCATCCTTTCTGGGTAACCCTGTAGCTCTGTTTATCTCAATTTAAAATATGGATCCTTTAGAACAGGGTTGGAAGTAAAATTAATTATCTAAAATAAATTTAGAACTATAATTGTTTTTATAACCCTGTTTATCTGTATTTATAATATTATTTCAGACTAGGAACTGTATATATCTCCAGGATATCAAGTTCAATGTATACACAGAATTAATCAGTAAATAGAACTGTTTTTCTAAACCTGATAGCTCTCCTTCGTTCAGTGTGTTTTAGGGCTGAAGAAACCATGATGAGAACTTCAACCTTATCTGTCCCACACAATCCAGCTCCAGGTTGGGTTAGGTAAGGATAGGAGTGCGGGTATCTATATATATAGAAATTGAGTCTTTGCCACAAACTCTGATTTTTTACTCATTATATCTTAATTTGCAGCCCAATGTCGTAGACCTTAGATATTTCAACCTAGGAGTTCTGTAATCTAAATTTGAAATATCAAAAGTTTACACCATCAGGTTGCAGAGATATAGGGATTAAAAAACTCAATTCCTTTCAGGATTAAACAATGTTGACCTAAAATTACCTAAAATTTGTTGATGCAACATCGAAGATCGTTGTTTTGCTTTCATCTAATCAGGATATTAGATATTATGTACGATATTATGTACAGTGTATGTAGTACAGTATATTTTATTAAAGATATTATGTACAGTGTATGTAGCACAGTATTATTTGTTGTACAGAGCCTGCGATTTAAAAGTTTCGGCTCGAGTCGTAATTCCTTAAACCCGACTTTAAGACCCAATCTTCGACCCAACTCTAACGACAGCTTGTGTCACGTGATTGGCAGCTGCAAGATCTTCGGCTCGAATTAAGGAGTTAGGCCCAATGAAAATAAAACCGACATTGGTTGGTTTTAGTGGAGAATAAGCTGCTCAATGTTGGGTCTTGTTCTCATAAGAACTGGGAATGCACCATGAAAATCAGCCAAATAAAATATTAAACCTGTTTTTTTAATTCAAGTCGGTGGAAAATAAGATGCAGCTTGGAGCCGAAAGCTCAAGCCGTAAATATAAGGTCCAACGACAGCTAGATCCGAGCCGTATTTCCCCGAATTTTTTAAATTGCGGGCGCAGGTCCTCTTGTTGAACGGAGTTTTCTATTCGTTTTTTTAAACAAGTTATTTGAGTTTTTGAGGCTTCTTAAGTGTAGTGAAAGTTAAAAGTCAGCGAAATTTTTTTTTCACTCGTTAAATGAAAATTGTTCCTTTTTCCATTTCTGCGATATTTTGTTGGTCTATATATTCGAAATATTTATGTATACGAAGTCTTGTATGTTCTTTTTTAACGGATTTTGATTTATACATCAACATATATGATGAAAGATATGTCGAAACAGACAAGATGTAATTCTTTGTAGTTAGTTTTACTTGGATTTAGTCTCTTAAACTCATTCCGCTCATCGCTTATTCCCATCATTCCGCTTATTCCCATCATTCCGCTCATTCCCTTCATTCCGCTTATTCCCATCATTCCGCTCATTTCCATCATTCCAATTATTCCCATCATCCTCTCATTCCCATCATTCCGCTTATTCCCATCATTCCGCTTATTTCCATCATTCCGCTCATTCCATCATTCCACTCATTCCCATCATTCCGCTCATTCCCATCATTCCTCTCATTCCGCTCATTCCCATCATTCCCATCATTCCGCTTATTCCCATAATTTCCATCATTCGCTCATTCCATTCTGCTACACTAAACATGTCGTAATTATTTGGAAACACAGCAGACCTTAACATTCCTCAAATCAAAATTCCTTATCTTAATCCCCTTATTCTCAGTTTTCTTAACTTTTCCTTCTCGACCCTTCGGGTTCAATTTTTGTAATTCTAACTCTTAATATTCAGTCTTTCTTTTCAGTTTCATCAGTCCTGTTCCCATATTAGATAATTATACGATAACTTCACTCTCTCCTCCTCAATCCATTTACGTCGAGTCCATCTATTCCCTTCTTCTTTTACTCCTTTTTTTACTCCCTCCCCCATTATCATTTAATATAAAATATATAATGTTGGATCTAGGCCTCCTCGCAGATTTATTCATTTTAGAGCTCCTGTAAAACCTTAATATATTCAGTGAAGAGGGAGAAATAGAAAATCTTTGATTGAGTTTTAGCATCAAATCCTCTTTATTCTTTAGATAAAAGAAAGATCTCAGAACAAGGAAGAATTGTTGATTTATCCTTTATATTTTTTGCTTTTTAAGTAAAACTTACTCAGGTTTATTCTTTTTTATATTTTGTCTCTTGTAAACAAATCTTATTCTACATTTTTATTATTAAAAATATACAATCCTGTGTCCTGTATCCTGTGTCCTGTGTCCTGTATCCTGTGTCCTGTATCCTGTATCCTGTGTCCTGTATCCTGTGTCCTGTATCCTGTGTCCTGTATCCTGTGTCCTGTATTCTGTGTCCTGTATCCTGTATCCTGTGTCCTGTGTCCTGTATCCTGTATCCTGTGTCCTGTATCCTGTGTCCTGTACCCTGTATCCTGTGTCCTGTATCCTGTGTCCTGTATCCTGTGTCCTGTATCCTGTGTCCTGTATCCTGTGTCCTGTATTCTGTGTCCTGTATACTGTGTACTGTATCCTGTGTCCTGTGTCCTTTGTCCTGTATCCTGTGTCCTGTATCCTGTATCCTGTATCCTGTGTACTGTATCCTGTGTCCTGTGTCCTGTGTCTTGTATCCTGTGTCCTGTATCCTGTATCCTGTATCCTGTGTACAGTATCCTGTGTCCTGTGTACTGTATCCTGTGTCCTGTGTCCTGTATTCTGTATTCTTTATCCTGTATCCTATATCCTGTATCCCTGGTTTAGTATCCCTGTAGAGTATCCAGTAAAGGATGATAAGACCAAGAATACCTCCAGGTACCTTCACTGCTCTGGGTATTCTTCATAGTTTGTATTTTAAACATATTTTTATGATAAACCAAATATTCATGACAATCAGCCAATAAATAAGATTTAATTAAAAACATATCAATGATTAGAAAAGTAAATTCACAAAGAGATACCAACAATCAGCCGGATATTGTTAAAAGCGGGGATAACCAAGTTTACATTTCTTATGATTTCTTAACAGAAACATCCTGCGTTGGGCATAAAAGAAGCAACAAGATAGTTAAGTAGCTTAAAAAATAGAAGGAAGGGGCTTGACATGGATTGTGCGTGAAGAAAAAGCAGCGAAAAAGAAAGCAGCTTAAAAATCTCCGAAAATACTAAAAAGGCAGATGAAATTCCATAAAAAAAGAACGAAAGCAGCTAAAAAATCCTCTAAAATGATAAAGGAGCAGCTAAAACGCCTGAATAAGAAAAAATACTGTTGAGGCCCCCTATAACTGAAAGTAAATACCAAACCTCTCTCATTTTCCCTTCTCAGAATGAAATGATCTAAAGCCCCTAAAAATCTGTAAAAAGTAGGAAGGAAGCTGACTGGAAAGACAGGAAGCAGCTGAAGTACGGGAAAGACTGCAGGATTATAGAAGCTGTAAAGTTAATGCCTGGTTTTCCTAGTTTTATGGTTATAGAAAATTTAATACAAATTCCTCAAGTTCCGCATATTGAATTTTTAGCTTAGTAGTTCTCTTTACACCAGAGAGATGAATAGAGCAGACTTTCTTTAATCTCGCTCAACCCCTCAGCTCATGGCTGTTGGTTTCCATATTCAAGGCAACCATCGTATCTAAAATATTTTTCTAATGTTTATTCTGAAATATTGTAATTGGCTGGGAAAGAACACATAAATATGGAGACATTTTTAGGATAAATGTTTACTAACGTGTTATCATAATTATCATCAAATTTCAGCTAAAATTACCATCTTTAAAATAAACTATTAGAAAATGTCTATATGTTTTCTAAAAGCATCATCAAATTCAAGCTGTAATAGAAAACGTCGTGAAAAGCTTATAGTTAAGCGTAATGTTGAAACAATGTTAAACATAAACTATCATCAAAGTCAGGCTAAAGGTAGTTGCCCAAGGAAGTAACGTGCACTTGCCGCGTTGAGTTACAAGAAAGATAGAGATTAGTATATTTTAGGGTAAGGGTTGGTTAAGATACTTTCAGGGCCGAGCGCTGCGGCTAAGACAGGCTTTGGGACTGAGGACCGCGGCTGGGACAGGCTAGTGGGCCGAGCACCACAACTTGAATAGGTTCTCTCTCTATCTTGTAATTAAACGCGGCATGCGCTCGGAACTTCCTTGGGCTTCTGCCCTATATTAAAACACCCAGTTATGGCCCAGTAAATATATTTTACTTTTACAATTATGGTCATATCCAAGGTAATTACACCAGGAATACATTTATTAGTTTATCTAAGGAGACTTCTCCAGGAATAGATTTATTACTTTATCTAAGGAGACTTCACCAGGAACTCATTTATAGGTTTACCCAAGGAGACTACACCAGGAACTCATATATAGGTTTATCCAAGGAGACTTCAACAGGAACTCATATATAGGTTTACCCAAGGAAACTACACCAGGAACTCATATATAGGTTTATCCAATGAGACTTCACCAGGAACTCATATATTGGTTTATCCAAGGAGACTACACCAGGAAAAGATCAAAGACGATATTTAAGTCGTCTTTTTACTGTCGTGCTTTTTGAGGCACCCTGTAGTTGCAACCATAGGCTTATGGTCCAGTATAAATGTCTGGGCACCCTGTAGTTGCAACTATAGGCTTATGGTCCAGTATATCTTTATAACCGAATTTTCGGGAGATTTCAAGTTTTTATCGTAACAGAAAGACAAGTATCAAACTAAGAGGTTAACTTTACAAACAGGCAAACCTGATCACTCGACTCATTAGAAAATTAAAGGCAATGTTTTAATCACAAACAAATGAGACGTTCATTTCTTATAGAAATGTAAGGTTTGTTAGTTTTCACTTTCTGTTTTATCCTGAACTGATCAGCTGTGCGCGTAGTACTGAGCGCGTATATTGGACCGCGTATTCTCCAGGTTCAAGGTCATATTTCTCATCCCAGGTAGACAAGTATAAGGAGAAATAAGAAACCATCTCTCATCTTATCTTGACGAGGTTTTTATTATGGAGAAACAAGAACCCTCTATTTTCCGCAGGTAGACGAGTATACGGAGAAATAAGAAACCATCTCTCATCTTAGTTCAACGAGGAATATATTTCGGAGGAACAAGACCCCTCTCTCCCTTAAACTCTACCCTCAAGTGAACGAGGTATACGGAGAAACACGAAACCATCTCTATACCCAAGCAACATGTGGACAAATAACCCCTACACTCCCCCCCCCCCTCCATAAGTATGCAAGTTATTCCGAGAGACAAAAAAACCATATCTTCCTCAGGTATACGAGGTATACTTGGTAGCAAGAAACCATATCTTGTCCTAGCTTGATTTACGGAGAAATAAGAAAAACATCAATTGCACTGCAGTTCAGTTTGTTTATATTCATCCAACAATTTGCAGTACAAAATACGCTAAGTTATTTGATCTATGGTAGATATTTAATACTACATATACCCACTAAAGGATGACTTTCTACCGAAAAATATATTTCGTTCTGAGAAGAAAAGAACGTAAATTCTCTTTCCCCCCTCCCCCCTCCCCCTTCCTCCGGGGAAATCTAACTTTTTACAGGATCATTAGTTGAAACCTTGAAGAAAATCCATTATTCTCCAACCCTGCGGTGAACCAGGAGATGTCAAGTTTATCAGATCAGAAATTATGGTTCTCCGTCTTTGTCCTATTTAAATACCCTGGAACTGTGTGTCGGAGGCCTATCTAGGATCAGAATTATTATTAGGAATATCAAATCAAATCAATTCATTTATTATTATTAATACAATCTATGTAATACACAATAAATGTATTTACAAAAAATAGCCTTGGCCTTATAATCCAATCTTTTATTGATATAAACTATTCTTTTTTTTTCTTTTTTTTACTTCAGAGTCCAGATCTAACATTTTTATCTTATTGTTACTTCAGATTACAAATCTTACAGTTTTGTTTTATTTTTACCTCAGATAACATATCTTACTGTTTTATCTTATTTTTACTTCAGATTACAGATCTAACTGTTTTATCTTATTTTTACTTCAGATTACAGATCTAATAGTTTTATCTTATTTTTACTTCAGAGTCCAGATCTAACTGTTTTATCTTATTTTTACTTCAGATTACAGATCTAACAGTTTTATCTTATTTTTACTTCAGATTACATATCTTACAGTTTTGTTTTATTTTTACTTCATATTACATATATCTTACTGTTTTATCTTATTTTTACTTCAGATTACATATCTTACAGTTTTATCTTATTTTTACTTCAGATTGCAGATCTAACAGTTTTACTTATTTTTACTTCAGATTACAGATCTAATAGTTTTATCTTATTTTTACTTCAGATTACATACCTTACAGTTTTATCTTATTTTTACTTCAGATAACATATTTTACAGTTTTGTCTTATTTTTACCTCAGAAAACATATCTTACTGTTTTTTTTTTACACCAGATTACAGATCAGATCTTACAGTTTTATCTTATTTTCACTTGAGATTATAGATCTTCGAATGGTATCTGGTTTTACCCCAAATTCCAAATCTTTTAAATTTACAAAGAGTAAATTTTTGATTATTTTGGTTAATTCTGATCTTAAGAGTTGTTGTTTGTGAGCTAAGATATCAAAACACTTTTATTTTTCTGAAAACTTGGTTTTAGGTATTCGCTTGTATCTCTTTGTTTCTTGCCACATAGAAACTGTAGTGTCAGTTTTATACTTTATTTTAAAACACAAAATTATTATTTAAGAAGATATTATGGGAACCATAGAGTCAAGTTCTTCATGTAGAAGATGGAGTATTATATACACACATGTATATATGTATGTATATATACGTTGAAAAATGTCGTCCACCAACATACAACGGAAACCTAAAAGAGACTGTTAGGAGTAGCATTTTCGATTGAGAACGTTACTCTGAAAACCATTGTCTGATTAAGCATGTATTGGTTATTAATCTCTCTCTCTTTTTAAAACTGGTTATTTTCAATTATGGTTTTTCTTCAACAGTAATTTGTGCATCGAAGCAATGAAGGAATTATCAGAAATAAACTAAACACTTTAAGTCCTTTTATTCCTTATTTTTGATCAAATATAGGTTTCAGTAGTGCTGTTATGGTTCGGGCATTCTCTTCTATAAATGGAAGGTCACTTGAAATTACAACTATAGTCCTTTTAAGCTTATTAATTGCTAGTCACCACAATACATAGAGCTACTTACTTAGTTTTTCCACTTTACATAAAAAGAAAAACAAACTTTACAAGGATACAGTATTACAAAGAAGTAAACTCGTTTTTAATTGGGTCGTATTTGTTTAACCAGATATGGAACTTAAAGAATTTGAGCCGCGGTTTAAATCCGCCAAAACTCGGTTTAAATTTAGCGTCGGCTTAAATCTTGAAACATTTGATACAATTTTAAGTGGAACCAACCATATTTAAACCGCGGCTTAAATTTAAACCGCCGATCAAATTCTTTAAATTCGGCCACAGATTTTAATTAGTTTCAACTGGTTTAAATTGGTTTGAATTGGTTTGAATTGGTTTGAATTGGTTTGAATTGGTTTGAATTGGTTTGAATTGGTTTGAATTGGTTAGAATTAGTTTGAATTGGTTGAATTTGTTTAAAATCATCAATGAACTGTCGTTTGAATTGGTTTACACTTTGAAACTGACAAGTTTTTATGATTAGATAGGTCAAGTTGGTTTCCATGGCTCAGATTAGTTGGAACTGGGTTGAACTGGTTTTAATTGATCTGAACTGGTTTAAACTGGTTTTAATGGGTTTGAACTGGTTAGAACTGGTTTGAACTGGTTTGAACTGATTTGAACTGGTGTGAACTGGTTTTAAAAGGTTTTACTGGTTTTAATTGACAACAATGGTTTGAACTGGTTTAAACTGGTTTGATCTGGTTTAAATAAATTCAAATTTAGGAAAAAATATCTGTTTATAGTTCTAGCCAATATACAAATGGTAAAATGTATTCAATATTCCTGAATAGTATTTTAGTAGAGCGAGATAAACTCTCTTAGAAATCATAAATATAAATAAACCTCAGGGTTGAAACTGCAGTAAACCATCAAACCTGGCTTTAAATATGATGAAAACATTAAGAAAACGGTCTACAATATTTTCAAGCACAAATATACAACTTTAAAAAGTAAGTTACTAAAGAATTTGATAAAAAAACGGAAAAAAATCAAAATTTATTTCCAAAGATTGTGTTTTATCTTGAAAATGAGAAAAAGGACTTATGCGGAAAGAAAATTGTTAAAACTTATCCAATAACTACTTCTACAAAACTTTAACAAAATAACTGATATTAACAATTCGAATAAACACAAACTTTGATTTTTCAATCACTATATCTTTGCAACCCAAGGCCCTAGATGTTTCAAATTATGAATTCTGTTAAATCAAATAATCTAAGCTTAACCCTTTGCATCAAATTCACAACACGATTAACAATGCGAATAAGTAACAATGATTCCTTTCTTTTGCTTCCTCCTCCCCCCCCACTCATATTTCTTTCCAATCTTATTAAAACTTTTACTACAATTCCAATACAAACATTTCAACCAAACAATCTAGATTAGATTTGTGTTGCTCCAGGAGCTTGTTCAGGATCTAAATTCTCCGGGATCTAGTTTAGGATCTAGGTTCTCCAGGAGCTAGTTTAGGATCTAAATTCTCAAGGATCTAGTTTAGGATCTAGGTTCTCCAGGAGCTAGTTTAGGATCTAGGTTCTCCAGGAGCTAGTTTTGGATCTAGGTTCTCCAGGAGCTAGTTAAGGATCTAGGTTCTCCAGGAGCTAGTTTAGGATCTAGATTCTCCAGGAGCTAGTTTAGGATCTAGGTTCTCCAGGAGCTAGTTTAGGATCTAGGTTCTCCAGGAGCTAGTTTAGGATATAGGTTCTCCAGGAGCTAGATTAGGATCTAGGTTCTCCAGTAGCTAGTTTAGGATCTAGGTTCTCCAGGAGCTATAGTCTAGGGACTTCAGGTGCTTATGCATCTCCGAGCTTGACATCTCCCTCAACTACGGAGCAGGGAGAGTAGTTGTTCTTCTTCTCCGGGGCCTAGTGGATAGATAGATAGTTAGTTAGATGCTAAATTCACAATATCATACTTTATTGGGCTTTAAGGCAAATTTTACGATCTAGATTCTTCCTCTTTCCAAACAAATTTATACAGTTTTTTTTAATAAAATGTGAAGTTTAAAAACTGAAATACAGTTGATAACAGATTGAAATGGTTAAGAAAAAGGCCTGTTCTTTTTTCCCAGTAAGAATTATGCAAACCACTTCCAACTAAAACTTTAACTATCTATTAGATTAACTATATACCTTCTCCAACTATAACTTGTACCTATAGAACTAGTTGCCAGATTAACCATGTACCTTCTCCTAATCTAATTAACTGGTACCTTGAGAGGTTATTGGTAGATTAACCATATACCTACTTCTAATATAGCTAGTACCTTGAGAACTAGTTTGTAGATTAACCATGTATACCTTCTCCTAATATAGCTAGTACCTTGAGAACTAGTTGGTAGATTAACCATATACCTTCTCCTAATATAACTAGTACCTTGTGATCTAGTTTGTAGATTAACCATATACCTTCTCCTAATATAACTAGTACCTTGAGAACTAGTTTGTAGATTAACCATGTATACCTACTCCTAATATAACTAGTACCTTGAGAAATAGTTGGTAGATTAACCATGTACCTTCTCCTAATATAACTAGTACCTTGAGAACTAGTTTGTAGATTAACCATGTACCTTCTCCTGATATAACTTGTACCTTGAGAACTAGTTTGTAACATGTATAGTTCTCCTAATAGAACTAGTACCTTGAGAACTAGTTGGTATATTAACCATATACCTACTCCTAATATAACTAGTACCTTGAGAACTAGTTGGTAGATTAACCATGTACCTTCTCCTAATATAGCTAGTACCTTGAGAACTATTTGGCAGATTAACCATGTCTCTTCTCCTAATATAGCTTGTACTTTGAGAACTAGTTTATAGATTAACGATGTACCTTCTTCTACTTTAACAAGTACCTTGAGAACTAGCTGGTAGATGAGTCCTGCAGCAACACCCCCTAGGATAGGTCCGACCCAGTAAATCCAGTGATGAGCAAAGTTTCCAGTGATCACTGCTGGGCCCAGAGTTCTTGCAGGATTCATGCTGGAGCCTAAGCGTTTTATTTTCCATCTTAAGAATGTTTTTTTCTTTTACATTTTTCAAGTATTTTACTCTTTACCTGTCAGAGGGATTGCAAAGAGATGACATGTAGCGATGGAGAGACCGATTGCTAGAGGAGCACTTCCCTTCACACTCTCAGTATTGTTTTCATCTGCAGCTGCTCCGTATACAGTTAGAACCAGAACCATAGTAATCATCATCTCTACTCCTACAGCCTGGAATACAAGGAGAAAATGAGTTGAACCAGAACCATAGTAATCATCATCTCCACTCCTACAGCCTGGAATACAAGGAGAAAATGAGTAGATTCAGGACCACAGTGATCATCATCTCTTACTCCTACAATGTCTATGGGTATCCTATACTATGATATAAAACTAACCTGTACTATTGAAAGGTTAGGATCAACTCCAGTAGCTCCAAGACCAGCTCCACCTCGTAGCTCTGTAGAAACAAGTCCCCTGAGTAGACCAGCTCCGGCGATGGCTCCGAAGTTTTGCGCCAGAACATATATGCATCCGCGGGCAAATCCAATCTAAATTTGTTATTACTTTTTCTAATAATTTATATCTCAAATTTTCAAGGTTTTTTTTTAATTTTTCACTTTTTACTTTGACATGAATATATGCATTTCCAACAAATGCTTTCTCATTCTCTGTCTTTATTCTCTTATATCTATATTTTTTACCTTTCCCCCCGCTGCAAGTCCTGCAGTAACTGCTGGGTTTACATGGCACCCGGAGACATGTCCTAGAGCCTGCGCCAGGGTTGCAACTGTTACTCCGAAACACAGAGCAATCCTAAACATTGATTGGCATTGTTTAAATTTACTAGAAGCTGTATTTGCGTTTGAATATTATTCAGTAGATCCGACTTATTTAAACAAAACTTATCATTGCTAATTATCAATTATGTTTATCTGACCTATTTTGTTGTATTTAACAAATACAAATAACTATTTTGCTTTGTAAATAATTAAATTCAACAAAAATGATGTATTGATATAATTTAAAGAAAAAAAACTTATTTTAATTTGTACATTCATTTCACGCATGTTTGTATATCATAGGATACCTGACAAACTTTGATTGATGATCCCCCTCATCCTCTCCTCCTATACAGCTTCCACATCCAACAAACACCTAGAGAAGGAAGGAAACAATTACATGCATTCATTCACTGAAATATTTATTTTGGGACATTCTCAACACTCTTTATCCTCTCTTCTCTTTGTGCAATTACTATTTGTCTACCCTCCCTGATTCGTATTTCTAGCTGTTCCATATATTGTCCTCCTGCTTCCTTGCCCCTCTTCATTTTTCTCCAGTTTATTCTGTTTCTCCTACTACTCGTGCTCCTCCTGCTACTCCAGTTTCTTCTGTGCCTGCTGCTCCTCTTGTTTCTCCTGCTACTCATGTTCCTTCTGTACTTGCTGCTCCTCTTGTTCCTCCTGCTACTCCAGTTCCTTCTGTTCCTGCTGCTCCTCTTGTTTCTCCTGCTACTCATGTTCCTTCTGTACTTGCTGCTCCTCTTGTTCCTCCCTCCAGTTCCTTCTGTTCCTGCTGCTCCTCTTGTTCCTCCTGCTACTCCAGTTCCTTCTGTTCCTGCTGCTCCTCTTTTTCCTCCTGCTACTCCAGTTCCTTCTGTTCCTACTGCTCCTCTTGTTCCTCCTGCTTCTCCAGTTCCTTCTGTTCCTGCTGCTCCTCTTGTTCCTCCTGCTACTCCAGTTCCTTCTGTTCTTGCTGCTCCTCTTGTTCCTCCTGCTAATTCTGTTTTTCCTGTACCTGCTGCTCATTCCGGTTCTTCTGTTCATGTTGCTACTACTGATCCTGCTGCTCCTCCTGTTCTTCCCTTTCCTCCTGATCCTCCTGTTTATCCTACTCCTCCTGCTTTTCCTGGTACACATGTTTCTCCTGCTTCTCTTTTTCCTCCTGCGACTCCAGTTCCTTCTGTTACTGCTACTCCTTTTGTTCCTCCTGCAAATCCTGTTCTTCCTGTTCCTGCTGCTCCTCCCGTTCCTTCTGTTCACGTTACTAGTTCTGATCCTCCTGCTCTTTCTGTTCCTCCTGCTCCTCCTTTTCATCCTGGTCCTCCTGACCCTCATGTTCCCCCTGCTCCTCCTGCTTTTCCTACTCCTCATAATCCTCCTACTCTTCCCGTCCTGTCTACTCCTTCTGCTCCTTATGCTTCTCTTGCTACTCCTACACCTCCTGTCCCGTCTGCTCCTCTTGTTCCTTATGGTTCTCTTACTACTCCTACTCCTCCTGTCCCGTCTGCTCCACCTACTCCTACTGCTCCTTATGCTTCTCTTACTAATCCTACTCCTCCTGCTCCTGATGCTTCTCTTGCTACTCCTACTCCTATACCTCCTGCCCCCCCCCTCCCCAGTCATCTGTCAAGACTGGGGAATCCTAATCTGTTTGTGAACCGTCCCGTCATGTTTACACATGCACAGTGTTGACATAAACTGATAGGATTTTTATTTATTTTCATTTGTTGTGTTTCAGCATTCTAGAGGAGGACTTAGAAAACAAATTATCTCTAAAATTTTCTAACAAAGTAATTTAATAATTTGTTTAACCTACAGTATCTTTACACTACATTTTAAAATATTGATCAAAAGTTTTTGATTACTTTAATATTTTTAGAAAAATTACTTTGAGAAAGAATGATCAGAGAAGGTTGTCAACTAGATTCATCCTTTTAGATGAAGTGTTTTTTTAAAAATACAATTTTATTATTGGGAAGAATGTATAATATAGAAATCAAGTGTCTCTCCTTTGATATACTAAAATACAAAGATAGCATTAATTAAATGTTTTTTTTTTAATGATATTGAAAAATTTTACAATGTAAATTCTGTTTTTTGTTATTTTTTTTTGCATTTACACACCGAGGAAGTATACAAGACGAGTTTAAAGTCATTTTTCCCCATCGGTCTCTCCTTGTGTTAATTGATGAAAGTGTACATAAAGGTTGTTGAGAATATATCACCAAAAGAAATGTCATTTAAACAAAGAAAACATCTTTGAAAAAAAACACATTTGAATGAAATGAATGTTTACAAAGTTTAACATGGAACACGTCCATTTTCAATCAGTTTTTTATCTGAATTTTACTCGGGAAAGAAATTTTGTTATTGAAGAGAGTCTGAACCCTAATTCTTTCTTGTCAAAACATATCATCTATCTTACAGGGATACACAATTATTCTAGATTCAGAACATATTCAAAGAAAAAAGTTTATAAAACTCCATAAATATATAAATTAATTCAACCTAGTTTCTTACATTCAATTTAAAATGTTATGATTTAGATTTAAATCAAGGTTTAGGTTTAGGTTCAGGTTTAAGGCTAAGTTTAGATTTAAGGTTAGATTCAGGTTTAGGTTTAGGTTTTGGTTTCGGTTTTGGTTTTGGTTCAGGTTTAGGCTTAGGTTTAGGTTTAGGTTTAGGTATAAGTTTAGGCTTAGTTTAGGTTTAAGTTTAGGTTTTCGTTTTGTTTTTTGTTTTTGTTTTTGTTTTGGTTTAGGTTCAGGTTTAGGTTTAGGTTTAAGTTTAGGTTTAGTTTAGGTTTAAGTTTAGCTTTAGTTTAAGTTTAAGTTTAGGTTTTGGTTCAGGTTTAAGTATAGGTTTAAGTTTAGGTTTAGGTCCAGGTTCAAGTTAAGGTTTAGGATTATGTTTATGTTTAGGTTTAGGTTTAAGTTTAGGTTCAGGTTTAGGTTTCGAATATAAGTTTGATTATATTTACCAGAATGAGAGTTCCTAAGAATTCTGCAACAACTTGTTTAAAGAGTGTAGTAGTATCCTTGAGTTCTTCAAGTCCAAGATATGGAAACCTCATTTTAGCCACGCTATATAGTCTGAAATATCAATTAAAGATTAGATTAAGAAAAATTAAGTTTTGTGAACATTAAACATAAGGAAAAAGTCACGCAAGCATTTTACAACGATTTCCTTTAAACCCTCTCTATGAGAAGCAATGACAAATGATATTGTGGTTTTCTTTCAAACGGATCTTTACATGGTTTTATTTTGCTCTAAAACCCACGATTCGCTTTCTAAAAAATGGGAAACATTCAATTTGTATTGAAAGAAAACATAGAAAATAACAATTACTTATGTTTTTGCGAAATATTAATGAGATACTACTGAATTATAGTTTTATTATAAAAATCTGTAAAGAAGCTTTGGTATAAACTAAACCTTGAATTTTTTAATTCTTAACAACCTTTCATTTTTAGTCTTAAAGTATTGCTTTAAGCTTTATATAAACCAAATTATCTCTTGAATATATAAAGAATACAGATATTTCTGCATCAACCTCCCGAATTGTATCTCAAGTTTATTGTATCCCTCTGCATGTGTTCATCTTTACAATTATAAAGTTGAAATTTCTGTTTATCTGTTTGTATGTCCGATCATAACTCATGAACATTTTTACCGATTCACCTAAAATTTTTGTTGAGGAACTCAGTAGAATTACGTGAATGGTCTTCATTTGGTTAAAAAATTTAGTAGACCTTTTTTTACAAAAAGTTTAGTTTCCAGGGAAAGCCGGGTTCCCCAGCAAGTATAAGTATATAATCTCAGTTGTATCTATGGTTTTTACTATTATTAGAGGAAGGGTAGAGGTAATGGGATAAGTTTAATTTGGCCCAAGGAATCTTAGTTCTGAAAAAGGGATTCAAGTTCATCTAAAAACTAAAAATACAATCTGTTAATATTGTATTTTCTTGAATATTTAAATGTATGAAGTAGTAATCTCTGTTTGTTTGAATATCCAATCATAACTCTTGAACCCCTGGGCAGATTTGTCTAAAATTTTAAATGGGAAACTTGATAATTATGTAAAAAAAACGTTTCAAAATATTTAAGCTTAAATAAAGTTAAGAAAATATGTAGTAAATAATTAAGTTTCTTTTCCCCTAGTTTATAAATTTGAGATGAGATTTTATTTTTCACACCAAACAAAGTTTGAAGATACCATGCAAATACATACTAATTTAGAAAATGTCAATATAGTTCATAAAAATTCTGAATTTGTTTGATAAAGCTTCAAAACATTTTCTACTGGATTTAACAAAGCTGAAAATTTTCATTTTTTTACAATGTTATTTTTTATTGATGTTAAGATGATTTTTTTGGTTAAGAAACCATTAATAGATCCATTCATGTTTGAAAAAAAAACCTTAATATAGTTAAAACTTCAAAATTAAAAATTTTGAAATATGCTTCTTTATAAAAACTGAACGGAGAAAAGGGTTATAAAGGCTAAAGCTGAGATTTGTAGTTAATTGGAAGAAAAATACAATTAGTTCTAAAAACAAATTTGAGAAACAAGAAAAGAAAGAAAGAAACAAGAAATGTTTTACAAAAAAATCTAGAAATGAAATATAATTTTAACAAGATTTACGTAGAACTTGGTCCTGCAAATGTAAAAAATTTCAAAAAGTTGGGAATTTATGAATTTGAGACAGAGGTAGTTTAATCGGTTACGGCTGGTTCAAGTACACTCCCTCGGTCACTCAGCTAAATCATCAATTTAAAATTAATTTTGTAGATTTTTCAATCCTTATCTTGATTATAAGAAATCCGCTAAAAATATTGAAAATAAATGATTCTTTATATTAAAAACTGCAGCATTTTTGAACTTGAACCAGTAGTTGATCAGACTCTACCTACTTGAACTAACTACCTCTTTATATGAACCAACTCACAACTTAGAACTCTAGCAAGAAATCATTCTTGGAGTTTTCAAAACTATCTTTATCTGACTTCAATTCAATAATTAATCCAATATTGAAGAAGAAATACATGTTCAAGCTTTAACTTTACCATACATTATTTAGTATCGGAGATTGTGGTATAATTAAACTCACGTCAAACTAAAGTAAACTCACGTCAAACTAAAGTAAACTCACGTCAAACTAAAGTAAACTCACGTCAAACTAAACTTAACTCACGTCAAACTAAACTTAACTCACGTCAAGCTGAAGTAAACTCACGTCAAACTAAAGTAAACTCACGTCAAACTAAAGTAAACTCACGTCAAACTAAAGTAAACTCACGTCAAACTAAAGTAAACTCACGTGAAACTAAAGTAAACTCACGTCAAACTAAAGTAAACTCACATCAAACTAATGTAAACTCACGTCAAACTAAAGTAAACTCACGTCAAACTAAAGTAAACTCACGTGAAACTAAAGTAAACTCACGTGAAACTAAAGTAAACTCACGTGAAACTAAAGTAAACTCACGTCAAACTAAACTTAACTCACGTCAAACTGATGTAAACTCACTTCAAACAAAAGTAAACTCACGTCAAACCAAAGTAAACTCACGTCAAGCTGAAGTAAACTCACGTCAAATTAAAGTAAACTCACGTCATACTAAAGTAAACTCACGTCAAACTGATGTAAACTCACTTCAAACCAAAGTAAACTCACGTCAAACCAAAGTAAACTCACGTCAACTGAAGTAAACTCACGTGAAAGTAAAGTAAACTCACGTGAAACTAAAGTAAACTCACGTGAAACTAAAGTACACTCACGTCAAACTAAAGTAAACTCACGTCAAACTAAAGTAAACTTACGTGGAACTAAAGTAAACTCACGTCAAACTAAAGTAAACTTACGTAAAACTAAAGTAAACTCACGTCAAACTAAAGTAAACTCACGTAAAACTAAAGTACACTCACGTGAAACTAAAGTAAACTCACGTGAAACTTAAGTAAACTCACGTGAAACTAAAGTACACCCACGTCAAACTAAAGTAAACTCACGTCAAGCTAAAGTAAACTTACGTGAAACTAAAGTAAACTCACGTCAAACTAAAGTAAACTCACGTAAAACTAAAGTAAACTCACGTCAAACTAAAGTAAACTCACGTGAAACTAAAGTACACTCACGTCAAACTAAAGTAAACTCACGTCAAACTAAAGTAAACTTACGTGAAACTAAAGTAAAGTAAACTCATGTAAAACTAAAGTAAACTCACGTGAAACTAAAGTACACTCACGTCAAACTAAAGTAAACTTACGTGAAACTAAAGTAAACTCACGTCAAACTATAGTAAACTCACGTCAAAGTAAAGTAAAATGCACGTAAAATTGAAATATTAAATGTCCTCTTATTGAAGAGCTATTAAGAAGAAGAAAAAAATTTTGAATTTCAAATATGTAACCAAATAAATTTGCATTGTCTTTCCCTTGTGAGTAAAATCAGAACTAGAGGAGCAACGGAGGTACAAAGTCGTAACAGTAATGTTAATTTGACCTTCTCCTACTGGTAAGTTTGCAATGAACTGTGTGATACTATACATGATCTGTAATCTTTATATTATCAGAGAGACAAAGTTTAGCCGAGAGTGAAAGCAATCAGAAAGTATAACCGGAGAAAGAGAAGCTTCAACTGTTAGCAATGATGAATCAGGATCAGAAGATGATAATGTCAGACTGTTAGCAATGATGAACCAGGATCAGAAGATGATAATGTCAGACTGTTAGCAATGATGAACCAGGATCATAATATGATAATGGCGACTGTTAGCAATGATGAACCAGGATCAGAAGATGATAATGTCAGACTATTAGCAATAATGAACCAGGATCAGAAGATGATAATGTCAGACTGTTAGCAATGATGAACCAGGATCATAATATGATAATGGCGACTGTTAGCAATGATGAACCAGGATCAGAATATGACAAGGTCCAACTGAACAAATGATCAGCTAGGATCAGAATTTGATAAGGTCTGTCTGTAAACAATGATGAAGCAATATTAAAGAAAGTTGAGTATCTGAATTTAAGCAATGATAAGCTATTATCGGAGAAGGATGAACTCCGACTGTAAGCAATGATGAACTAGTATCGGAGAAGGATGAGCTCCGACTGTATGTCATGACGATCTAGTATCGGAGAAGGATACGCTCCGACTGGAAGATATATGTGCAGGACGCTCTCCGACTCCGTGACCGGAGGACTATTAGAAAATTAAACTCAATTATTCTGCAACACTGTTAGAGGACATCAATCTTACTTTAACCAATGTCACTTAAAGGTTCACCCTCCTCCCTCATAAATAATAGAATACGGGAGAACAACAAGTACCAGATAAAGGAGAAAGAGAAAATATAAAATAGAAGATATATGGAGGAAAATTACGATGAAATTTGAAAAAAAGAGAAATTAGGGAATAAATCGCTGTTCATCGACGGTTATTAGGAGGATTCAGGATGATGAGGAAATGAGGGAGAAGGGGATGTTGAGGATTATGAGATGGATTGAGAAGATAATAATGATGTAAAGAAGGTTGGGAGAAAAGGATAAGATAATAATGAGGAATTAAGTAAGTATGGAAGGATGATGATGAGGGTATGGGGGAGTAGGGAAGGATGATGATGAGGGTATGGGGGAGTAGGGAAGGATGATGATGAGGGTATGGGGGAGTAGGGAAGGATGATGATGAGGGTATGGGGGAGTAGGGAAGGATGATGATGAGGGTATGGGGGAGTAGGGAAGGATGATGATGAGGATATGGGGGAGTGGGGAAGGATGATGATGATGCGGGTGAGGGAGGAAGGGATGATGATGATGAGGGTATGAAGAAAGTGCAGGGAAAATGTTGAAGCAAATATTTAAGAAAAGAAGAGGTTGTTTATTGTTAGCTTACTACTTCTACCTATCGCTGCTTTAATTGGACTGATCCTATCTCTAGTTCTCCGGGAGCTACGCTGACCAGAAGCGGTAGTTTAAAGGATTTACTACGGAGAACTATTCATCCTGAACCCTTTCTTTTGCAATCGACCGTCTTAAAACCCCCCCTCGCCCATTCCCCTGCCCTGAACCCTCCAATCTCTCATTCCCCTGCCCTGAACCCTTCAATCTCTCATTCCCCTGCCCTGAACCCTTCAATCTCTCATTCCCCTGCCCTGAACCCTTCAATCTCTCATTCCCCTGCCCCGAACCCTTCAATCTCTCATTCCCCTGCCCTGGACCCTTCAATCTCCCAGTCCCCTGCCCTGAACCCTTCCATCTCTCATTCCCCTGCCCTGAACCCTTTCTTCTCCCAGTCCCCTGCCCTGAACCCTTCAATCTCTCATTACCCTGCCCTGAACCCTTTCTTCTCCCAGTCCCCTGCTAAACCCTCTTCCTTCTCCCAGTCCCCTGCTAAATACCCTTTCTTCTCCCACTCCCCTGCACTGAACTCTTTCTACTCCCAGTCCCCTGCTAAATACCCTTCCTTCTCCCAGTCCCCTGCACTGATCCCTTCCTTCTCTGAAGTCCTAACTCTAACCTCTTCAAACTCCCTTATCCAATACTTTCCTTAGTGGTCTTCCTGGTCAAAACTTTGTCTAAAACCTTATTTCTCAAAACTGAACAACAAACCAAGATGGAAAAAAACAGAAATTTCTCTAGAATAGCTTATGCCTGTATAGTCCCTTGTTCAAACATACAAGTTTCATCACAGAATAATATTTTAATTTAACATTTTCATTTCACCCAGCTCCATGATCTAATCGTCACTTCAACCAGCTCCCTGTTCTCGATCCGCCCTTCACCCAGGTCCATAGTCTGTATCCTCCCTTCACGGCCAGCTCCCTATTCTCAATCCTTCCTTCACCCAGCTCCCTGGTCTCAATCCTTCCTTCGCGCAGCTCAATGGTCTCAATCCTTCCTTCACCCAGCTCCCTGGTCTGTATCCAACCTTCAGCCAGCTCCCTGGTCTAAATCCTCCCTTCATACAGCTCCCTGGTCTCAATCCTTCATTCACCCAGCTCCTTGGTCTCAATCCTCCAATCCCCCAGCTCCCTGGTCTGTATCCAACCTTCAGCCAGCTCCCTGGTCTGAACCTTCCCATCCCCCAGCTTCCTGGTCTGTATCCAACCTTCATCCAGCTCCCTGGTCTAAATCCTCCCATCCCCCGGCTCTCTGGTATGTATCAAACCTTTATCCAGCTCCCTGGTTTAAATCCTCCCTTCACCGAGCTCCGTGGTCTGTATCCAACCTTCACCCATCTCCTGGTCTAAAATATCTCTTAAACTACCCAGTTCCCTTCCCCTTAATCTGTTCTATTCTCTCCTCCCCCATATTTACCCCCAACCCTCGCTTCCCTCATATGTTTCCCCGCTACCCATGATATCCCAGATACCCGTCTCTTCTACTCCTCCTTCCTCATTGACCCAGTTCAATGAACAAGGGTTCATTTGTGAAATATATTTGAAGAATCTTTCCTTTGATCTTTAAACTATATATTCCAGGGTTAATTATCCGATACAGACCCCAGACTATTCAGTATTCATCAATCCTCCCTTTCTCATTTCTTCTCGTTTTACTCCCTACTTCTATTCCCATCCCTCCACTTCCACTTCACTTCCTATCCCTATTTCCACCCCTATCTTATTTCTTGTCATTTTACTCCCTACTTCTATTCCCATTCCTCCACCCCTTTCCTTCAATTCCTATCCTTATTTCCATCCCTATCTCATTTCTTCTCATTTTGCTCCCTAGTTCTATTCCCATCCCTCCACCCCTTTCCTTCACTTCCTATCCCTATTTCCATCCCTATCCCATTTCTTCTCATTTTACTCCCTACTTCTATTCCCATCCCTCCACCCCTTTCCTTCACTTCCTATCCGTATTTCCATCCCTATCTCATTTCTTCTCATTTTACTCCCTACTTCTATTCCCATCCCTCCACCCCTTTCCTTCACTTCCTATCCCTATTTCCATCCCTATCTCATTTCTTCTCATTTCTTCTCATTTTACTCCCTACTTCTATTCCTATCCCTTCCCCCTTTTCCTTCACATCCTATCCCTATTTCCAACCTTCTCTCATTTCTTCTCATTCTCCTGCTACACCTATTCCCATCCCTCCCCCTTCCCCTTCCCGTCCCAACCCTTCTGCAATTATGTCACCTTCCTCTTCCTCCCATTCCTACCGTTTTCCCATTCTCCCACTTTCTTTTTCCATCATACCCCTTCCCCCCCTTGCTTCTTCTTCTCTTTACAGACAAATATTTTAAATATTTAAACCAAAGACTTTGCTAATTAGCAAAGTCTTTGATTCAAACATATTTTATGAAATTTTTTTTGAAAATATTTCAGGAGATATTTTCTGAATTTCAAGATATCTAAACTTTTGCTGGAACCTTTAAGGAAGAATGGGACACAAAATATATATTGAAAAACGATAAATCACAAAATAAACCAATAAATAGAATCTTAAAGATTGAAAAATTACAAATTGTTCATATTTTCATATTAAAATATTCATGATTTATCTTCAAGAATCACATAATGTTCATACAAAAGATCATATTTATGGAAACCCTTATTTTTAGTAATGTACTTTATTTTACATCTAATTTTAGAAAATTACTTTTCTTACAAAAAATAAGAGGAGTTTTGTTTCTTCTTCAGATTTTTCTGGTGGGAGAAACCACCCCTGGTGCACTTAAAACTACAGGGGGACCCTCAAAACAAAACTACAGGGGGACCCTCAAAAAACGGATTAACTTCTGTCCCAATAATCTTGTTAAAGGACTTAAAATCTCTCCCTTAACTTCAGAAAAAAAAAATCTTTTATCTACAGGGTTACACACAAACAATGAGACTTCAGAGACGACTTTACGAATTTTATTCCTTTTTTCAATATTCGTGGTTCCCTGCAGCTTTATACTTTTTACATTCCTTGCTTAATATTTAGTACACCTACAAAAATCCTAATTCAAAGTCCAATTAGAACCAACTAAATCTTCAATTGGACAGAATTAAGGATTATTAGGTCGTCTTTATAGTCTTATGTTTTGTGGGCAACCCTGTATATATCTGAACCCCCTAAAAATGATCTTCTGGCGTTTTTAATATCTATGGTGTACACTTATAACGTAATCCTAAAGACTGAACTCTAATGAGAGAAACCCAAAAATAGAGTTTGCAACAATCAAACAGCTTTAATGAACATTTTTTGGCATGGTATTAAACTGGGGCCTTTTAAAGAAATCGTTTAAAATATAAACATTTTAAAGTAATATTAATAAGTATTTATTTTTATAATTTCTAAGCATATTTTTTTTCTCTCTGAATTGTTCATTAAAGTAAACAGAGAGTTGTTTGAAAATTTGACATTATAGTTTTACGCCAAACGAAAGCGTCGAACGACAAATGTTACCTAATTAACCTCTTCTATAGTTAATTGCTAGAGAATTTAACCCTATCTCTGCTGGGGTACTTGAAAACCAGGATATGCTCTAAATCCCATGTTTGATGTCCAAATATGACAAATGATACATCATTGGAAAGCTCTTGTGCTCTACTTTTAGAATCTGCAAAAAAAATTTGCAAATTTGCAAAAATTGAATTTTTTATCGCAAAATCTAGTTATATAGTAAAAATGTTTACAAAAAAAATTTGTCCAAAAAATGAAAAATTATACATTTTTGAAAAGCCCTTGACCATGCCATTTCAAATATGCAAAAATGTTTGCAAAATATTAAATAACCTGAATTTTAATCAAGAAAAACTAAAAATGTGAAAATTTCTTTTGACAGGTTGTTTCCACAAAATTTGCACTTTTTTCGCAAAACTTGTGCAATTCGTTTCCTTATGTCAAAGGCTTTCCAAAAAGCTAAATTTTATCAAAATCTGACATGTGGAAGTGGGTCAAAACAAAGATTTAGTTTGTAACAGGAAAAAGCAGTCATTCAGGCAGTGTGCCTGAGGACTCAGGCAGTTAGTATTAAAGCCCAGTTTTAGGCCTAAAGGGAGGGCTTTGGGTATGTAGGAAAAGTCAGAAAATTTCAACAGACCAATACTTTTTGAGTTATGTAAAAAAAACTACAGGGGGGGTCAAATTGAACCCCCCCCCCAGGAGGAATAGGGTTAAATAGAGTAATGGGGCTTAAAATCCGCTAATCCCTGTTTACTTGGGTCACCCTGTACAAGAAAGTACATTCTGTCTGTATTGACATATGTTTCCATCTTTTATTCCGTCAAAAATAGCGTTAAAGACTTTTAAATTTAAAATATACAGGGTGAGTAAAAAAACAGGATTGCCGATGTTTTACACAAAATTTTCGAAAATTTTGTTTGGTTTTGATTTAGACGTAAAAAAATAAAATGTGATAAAGAAATTCATATTGAAAAAAAATCCGCGAAGCCAAATTGAAAAATTATGTTGAAAAGTATAATTCTATTATTTATCAAAATTTCATAAAAATTGAATGCAAATGACAAAATGACTTAATTCCTAGAAATAAGTATTAATAGAAAATACAAAAATCTTTTTGACGGATGGAAATGGGTTCCAAAGTAAAGGCCCACTGTAACCACAAGATCAGAGGTTTTTAAATATTTATTGAATTCAACCAAATAAACAAATATCTAGATTTACGTTTATTTTTGCTTTAACGGAGGAAACAAAAACGTGGTTTATGACAGGAAGTTCATTAAGGAAACACAGTTAAATGAAAACATTATTATCTTTTTCATTTTCCAGACAATTAATATTGAAATTATTCGGGTTTTTTAGAAATGAAAAAATTGTATTTAAAATATTTCCCGTTTTCGCTCCGTTTTATCTATTCTTAAAACCGACCCATGAACTCTTCCAATAATTGATTTACCACCCAGCCCTTCTCTCCTGTACTGAAGCTGTATTCTGATTCTCTGGTTGTATAACTGAAACCTTTACTATATATATTTTTACTTAGTTTTTGATCTTTAGAAAGCGTTATTTATTCTGCAGAACTCCTCAGACCCTAGGGTCTATCCCCTTAGCCCCCCTAAGGTCCACCCACCCCCATCCTCCCTAAGGTACTGTAAGAAATGATACGCGTGCCGTTGTCAGAGAAACTGGAAAGATAAGGTTACATTTTAGATTTTAGATTTTAGATTTTAGAATTTATATTTAATTTATCTTTATACTTATCCGTTATACTGCTTCAGTATTGTTTTAAACATTCCAGTATGGTGCTTAAACAGTTCCTCAACCCCCCTTCCCTTGAGATCCGACTCATACCCCCCCNACTATACTATAGTACCTCTAAAAGAAGTACATTCCTTGTTCTTTTCCTAAAACATAATAATTGAGTGACGACATACATACAAATCATGTCCTTCCTTTATTATAGGACAGAGCAAAAATGTGGTTTTTGTTGTTTTAAAACAGAGCAATTGTGGAAATCTGCGAGGATGAAGACGATTTTAAGGTCCTCTGTATATTGGGACACCCTGTGTTAAAGCTGCTACACCAAAACAAATATATGCTTCTTTAATATTTTAAAGATGTCTCCGCTTAAATCTACCCAACCGCCTTCCTCTCATTATCTCTCTAATTCCCCAGAAAACCCTTTCACATATTTTGGGAGTAAAGGAACTGGGAATTCCTGGTTCCGCTAAATAAATCCCCCCCCCCCCTCCATATTTTCTTTAACTGTCTGCTTTCTCTTCCTGATCCTTATCTACTAAATTTATTTCCTTTATTCTCTCGACCTTCTCTTTTTTCCTAAATCTTACTTCATTGATTTGTATAAAACCACCATTTATCATTTTTCCTTTTGATAAGGTTTAATTATTTCTGTTCTTTCATATTTTTCTTCTCTTCAATGGAAGGATTATGTAGAAACCGTGGAATTGGTTACCCACAAAGAATGATACTTCAGAGACGACTTATGGTTATTGATTTATTTTCGAAATTATTTAGCATACAACAAAAAGACTTAAATCCAACTTTTAAGACCTTGTATAATTTCTACAGCACTTTAATATATATTTATTGTCTTTAAAACCCATTTAATTATATCTTCTTCTTTTTACATTATTAAAAAATTCTTTATCAATTCTGTCACTTTTTCTCGGCATTCCCTCCCCCCCCCCTGCCCCCAACTCACACTTCTTTCTCAGTGCTTTTAAGGCGAT